CACATGCCATTCCGTGCATGGAAGCTGCGTATTTCTAAGGCCTTGCACCAGATGCGCGTGTTAAACGATTTAAGGAAATTAATCACCGACGCTCTCCACCTTACAACGGTCCAGTGGACTGTTTCTAACCTGATTGAACTCAGAAGCTTTGTCATGGTTCTCATCTGTGATCTATAGAAATATTAAGGAAGCTGCGAACCTAGATTGTAGATCAAAATTGGCTATTAATTTGCATTAGTATGACCGAGGCATGTTTATCTTGAGGTGTTCAACATTCAGATAGAATCCATTGCTGATACAAATCATGCGATATAGTATTGGACATTCGCGCTCACAAATCTTAGCAACAAAAATCTCGACGCTGGGCGTTGCAGTTTCCATGGTCCGTGCATTGTCGGCTCAGTGGCTAACACTGAGTCGTGAACAAGATGTGGACGAAAATGATGACACATCTGAAAAAAATACCTTAAAACGCTTTAAGACATCAAATCTTACACTTTGCAGGTAATTTTCGAGCATATATTTCAACGGTGCGATTTTTAGATTGATAATAAGAACGAACTAGCTTTTACAACACCGCGAATTGGTGCTGGAATCTGGTGAACTGGAAGAGTAAGGGTAGGATCTCTGTTTCCGCGTTGCTGTAACTGTTAATCTGTCCAGAGGACAACCTCAAAGTTGTAAAAAAGATAGGCTCAGCCTTATCTTTGAACGATACGACTTAGCTTTGAAAGACCCTCGTGGCCATCATTTCACGACGGTCGTTCTCGCACGCATGGCACTCACCACCTAGTGTGACTTGCAGTTGGCAACGCCGTTCGGCTTTATAGCAGCTGCAACCCAGGCCATCGCTGTCCCGGCTCCCGAGAGTACTGGCGCGCATGCTCAAACGTTTTAATGTCATTTGTTTAACACGCTCCCGGGTGGCCGGTTAGATACCCCCCGCTAGGTTGGGGGGTCAATTTGACACCCCTCCCTTAAACCTCAAGAATTCTAAGACATCTAAGGGCACGAAATTCAAAGAGCATATTGGTATTTATGTAAATGTCATTGTGACAAAATTATAGCTTCTTAGGTAATGATCTTGTGGTTTATCAAGGTCAAACGAGGTCAAACTCCGGATTGAGTCTCGAGTGTCCAATACCTTTTTATGCAACCACCATCAGCCTATATACCTATTCCAAGTAAGAGGCTAATGGTGTTCAGTTAAGGTCAGTGACCTTGTTTGACCTTTCAAGGTCAATTTTACCAAATACCTACAAGCACCAAATGCCTACAAATCCTCATAGCTTCACTGTCTTCCGGGATGTTAGGCACCTCTGACCGATACAGGAGTCCCGCATTGTTCCAAGGGCCCTGACCAATGTAAATCATTGGCCCGACCTTGTCGCTGTGTGGGAAATAGGCCCTCAGAGCTCAGACCGACACGGAGCCAACTCGAGAGACCCTTCAGCCCCTCTTTGGGCGACTAAAACGCCGCTCCTGGTCGACTCGAAGCCACGTCCCGCCACAGGACCTATGTTGGGCACTGTGGCCCTTGACCGACACAGGAGCTCCTCATTATCTCAGGGACCCCGAAAATTACAAAGTGCGGGCCCAAGCCTCATGCCCGCCTGGGAAATGGGTCCCAAGGGTTCAGACGGGCATGGAACCGATAGCCTGGTTCCGTGCCGAGGCACAGTGTAATGGAGATAGAGGACCCTAATAAGGGGCCCTAATAGAAGCCCGTTGACCGAAATTTCAGGTCACAGCACCACGAGTGATCACAGGGCCAGGGCTCGATCGGCCCCTTGATCTTTGGTCCCGAGGGGCGTTTCGGGTCCCTCTCACGGCTCGTAGTGACTCTGGCCACATACTGACACAGGACCCCTGTCAGGCACTTTAAGGCCCCTGACGGACCCCATCATAGTTCCAGTGAACCCAACTGAAGCAGATCGCGGGCCAAGCCTCGCTTGTGCCTGGGAAATGGACCCCAGGGCTCATATCGACACGTAGCCGGCTGTTTGGTATTGGTGGTCTCTGGCTGAAATAGATGCCCGCACTCCCCCAGGGGTCCCCAACCGATGCAACAGACCCTCTTACTGATATTTGAGGTCACGGCGTTACGGGCGGGATGACACCATCAGTGTTGCCTATGGTCAGTCTTTCTGGCCATTCAGTCTTTCAATCGGGCTCTTAATCTTTGGTCCCGAGGGGCCCTTCGGCCCCTCTTCGGGTCTCCTTAAACAAAGAATGTGACCGACCAGGGGACACTAGTCGACACAAGACCCCTTGGTTGACACTGTGGGCCCCTGGCCGGCTCAGAGGCCACAATCACTGTTTCAGGGACCCGGACCAATACAAGTCGTGGCCCTCGACCCGACTCATCAAACACTGCCCTTGCTCAGCTCGGGGCCCGTAGTGAACAAAGGACGTTCTGTTCGGCGCTGTAGGCCCGTGACGTACGAAGGCCCCAACCAGTGTAAATCGCTGGCTCCGGCTTTGCAGCTAAATGGGAAGTAAGCCCTCAGGCCCATACCGACACGGAGGTGACTGTGCGGTACCGATGGTGCCTGATGGACATATAGGCCCATATCGACTCAGGGGGCCTCCGATTGCCCCAAGTGGCCCTCTGGCTGTCATTTGAGTGCCCGTCCCCGCGAGCCGGGCCCCTGAATAAGTCTCCGGCCAACCATTTGTACCCCTAGACCCCCAATCGGGCCCTTGATTGTCGGACCCGATGACCCCTCCAGGCTCTTTAGGCCTCCTCGAACACTGCTCCTGGCATACTTGGGACCCCTTGCTAACACAGGGCTCGTTAGGCGCTGTGGGGGCCTGACAGATGCTGGGACCCCAACCAATGTAAATCGCTGGCTCTGGCTTTGTTCCTGCGTGGGAAATAAGCCATCAGGCGCATGCCGCTTCGGAACCTACTGTGCATTACTGGTGGTGTCTGGCCGACATATAGACCCTTGTGGACTCAGGGCGGCCCTGATCAACGCGCAGGGTCTTTCGGCTGGCATTAGAGCGTGCGGTTCTGCGAGCCGGGCCCATGATTACGACCTCCGGCCGGCCTGTGTGTGTGTGTGTGTGTGTGTGTGTGTGTGTGTGTGTGTGTGTGGGTGTGTGTGTGGGTGTGTGTGTGTGTGTGTGTGTGTGTGTGTGTGTGTGTGTGTGTGTGTGTGTGCGTGCGTGCGTGTGTGTGTGTGTGTGCGTGTGTGTGTGTGCGTGCGTGTGTGTTTGTGTGTGCGCGTGCCTGCACAAATCTACTACGACTATTTGCATGTTTTTAACACGTAAATGGCGGCTCTGTCTTTCCATCGCCCACCTGCTCAGCTTCTTCAGTCTGGTGGGCGGCTGGAATTGGAGCCCTGGACTCGGATCCCTCGGACCAGACCTCTGCCCTTACCAGCGTGCGTGAATGTTGTACTACTGATATCGTGTGAGTGAGTTACTTTCCCAGGTGGGCATTAGCGGCCAGTCGTATGGTGCCGTTGGCTACAACCACAATTTTGCCTTCCTTGTTTATTTCTGTTAATGACTAGCGTAGCATCCTAGTGGGCTTTGCAGCCTTGTCCTCTTATTTTTGTTTTTTCTTCCACCTCTTGGCAGGGAGTGTCGCAACTTGCGTTCATTATATTTGGTGTTAACATAAGGTCCGGTGTGTCGCTGGGCCAGTGGGAGGTGGCCCATGGTCGACTGTGAATAGGTGGCGGTTCAAACAAATATAGTATTTCAATGTACCGAGAGGTGGCCGTGGCAGCACTGCAGGTGTGGCCGTTGCAGTGATGGTGCTAATTTCGTCATGTGCCTTTGTTTTGGCCCTTTTTCGTGGTGTCCTTACATATTTATCCGTGATCTTAAGGTGCTTGCATGCATTCACACTCTCGGTTATGGCGCTCCTCTGAACTTATTCGATTACAAGTCTTATTCCCGCAATAGCTAGCAAGGATGTCCCGCTTTTTGCTGCAGGTGACACAAAACGTGATTCGCCATTGAAAGTTTGATCCTGCTATCCTCTTTCTTGCTTTATCCTGCATCCTTGCGGTACCCTGCATACCTGGGGCAAGCTGCATGCGCCAACAACGAGTGGGCCGAGAGACCCCGGGAGGCGACAGCCGTCCGGGCGCCCGGCGCACATCCCGAAGACGAGTCCCTGCGTGGGTTAGGTCTCGGCGGTTTGGGCTCCAGACACAGGTAAACCTGCCACACCGTCATCTATTCTTCTTTATCCCATAGCCCTGAAAAGACCGTTACTGTTCAAAGCGACTCCAATTCAAATAGTCACATGACAAAATCGTGATTAAAACTGGCTCAGCCTGCTGAACGTCGTTTGACAGCTAGTTGACGTCCATTACATCTGAAAGCCATGTTCACAAACGCCAGATATGAACGGCTCGACGTGCATAGTCTCGTTGGCCTTGAATGCCGCATGGTAAATGAAGTGACGTGATTTGAATGACATTCCTTTGGTGTCATGCATACCTGAATGACCTTGAAATAGTCTGCACGATATAGCCTGCACATCTTCGTGGGCGTGCAGCTCAGACACTAGAAGGCTTATGCCTAAAGAATGGCAAGGATGTGAACTGCACAGAATAATCTTCCAGATGGCTATTTCTGTTCAAAACCCCATACGACTGTGGAACACCTCCTTTCATGCGCAGAATCTCGTCGCACTGTCAAGTTTGATTGTTTTTGAGGCCTCATGAATTCTCCGCGGGGGATGCGGCATGAGACAAACCACCTGTCGTCGCCGGGGTAAGAGATGTGTTACACCACCTGCATCTCCCGGTGAAGGCAACAAGCCTGGAGCCGACGGGAAGCGAGAGGGGTAAACTTTGCGGATCGTTCCCTTCGCCACCGCCCACCCGTCAGATCACCGGCGCCGACATGGCGCCTGCCATCTCGCGCGCCGTGCCGGCGGCGGCGGCGGCGGCGGCGGCGGCGCAGGCGCCGGCTGCGGCAGCGCGTCGGTCTCCGATCGATACGGCACCGGTCGGCCGGCGTCACCAGTGCCCCGGCCGTGCCGGCGTCGGCCGACCCCGCCAGCTGACGGACGGGCCAGCCGCCGAGTCGTACCTCCGCCACACGTTCCTCCGTCAGGTGGGTGCGGTGGAAGGCGAGCGGCCCCGGTGACGCGTCGCCGTCGACGGTCGCTCTCTGGCTTTAGTGGGTGGCGGCTCTATGTGGGCTCAGGTCGAGACATTTCGGCCGGGAGCGTTGGTTTGTCGGCGGGTCAAAGAAGCGTTGTAGCGCACTGTTTTCCTCTCACTGGTGTGGCTGATCTATACCAATATCGGCGGCTGACTTCGATGCCACCTTTCCTACAAAATAGATTCATGAGTCGTTGCACTTACACTTTCCGTGAATTTGCTTGTCTTGCGTATTTTACATTTTTACATCACGCTTTATTATTTTCTCTTCTCAGCGGTTAAACATGCAAAAATTCAGATCACCGATTAGCGACTGAGGAATAATATGCCAATGACCGAGGTGTACGTATTTAATATTTTTACTGTAAGGCATGTTTTTACTTACTGAGTCCTTGTGTTGCCATCTCAAGTTCACAGCAGATCAGAGGATCGGTGCGCATAAGCGCAGCGTGCAGTAGCAAACGTTTTGTCTCGAACCCTTGACCTGTCGGTAATCTGGCCAGTAATCAAGCCCCTTACTCGGTCGTATCCAAGTCACAGTCCTGCTTGTATTTACTCAGGATACTAGCCGCTTCTACGGGGGACAAACAAGAGACCAGAAAATATGCCAACTTGCGCTCAGCGTCATGCTGCGGGCCATCCATCCCTTTCAACCAATGCCTGAGGGCACGGATCCCATGGCGTCCTTTGTGACCAACCTTTGTCTGTCAATAGCCACCTAGCATCATCCTTGTTCTGTGGGCAGGTACCGATCGGTCACCTTCGAAGAAGGCGGGGCGCGCGTGGGTGACCGCGAACGACGAAACCCGACTCGCGGCGCTCGCGCGCTTCGGAGCCGATTTAGCGCCAGCGTGCTGCAGCAACCGCAGGCAACCTTCCCGGCCAGCCGCGGCCGCTCTGTGTCCCGGGTCAAGAGGTTGCGCGGAGGAGTGAGCACGACGCCACGCTCCAGACACCATGGCGGGAACCGGCGGTACGTGTCCTAGCTGTCGGATTCGCTGTTTGATGTTATGTCGTTTCGCTGTTCTGCTGTCCTTCTAGTCTGCTTTTCGGCCGAGGCGGGCTGTTGGATTATGCTCAGCTGGATGGGTTCAAGTCCCTCTCTCTCACCGACTTGCGGTTCAGCCCGATATTAGATTTAATTCGACAGAGGACACTGCATCATTGACTTCACGCGCATGCAAAAAAGAAAAAAAGTAACAAAACAACACTGCAACGGAGGGCGAATATGAACTATTACTTCGATCTTATTCCAAAAGATAAAGAGTTGGCCACGTCCGAGGACGAAACTGCATACCGCGGGTGCCGCGAGTTCATCGACTCCGTGCAGAGACCGCGCAGTTTGCTTTGCGAAACGACGCCCTTGACCTGAGCTAGCTCTGCGAAACATCAGTCGAGGGCTCTGTAGAGCGGCACCGTCAGCGAATGACCTCTCTTATGAGGGGTCCGGAGCAGCGGCTCCCATTGCTCAGCTGCAGGTAGTCGTCCTATCACGACCATGGCCTGAAAAAGTACCGACGATATACCTAATACCGTAATCATACAGCACGCCGATTCGTTATGGTGGTATTTCTATGCACTTCCAGGACGCAGATTTATGTTATCATTTCTGTTGTGTTGGCTCATGCATGCATCAGATCCACCGACAGTTAGTTGCGCTGATATTCATTTTATTTTGCAGGACATCGCGTTAATATCGAAGACACTGCCGGCAGCTATTCAGGTAAAGCCTTCATATACTGGCTATCTGGTTAAGTACCAATTTCACCTCAGTTTCAGTGAGAGCTTTGCACTGGAAAAATGCTAGTAGCTCGCGCAAGACAGGCCGCTTTATATGACTCAGTGCGGCCTGGCTATGTCTACTAAGAGGACATCGTGAAGTTCATGTCGAGGACTTTTGAAAGAGACCGTGGAGTTATGCTTTTGACATGGTGTATCATAGGGTCCAGGCAACAAGATATGCAAGGGTGTGCTATACACTATGCGCTCCAAACAGTTCCATAGAAGTTCAAAACAATGAACAAATCATTAACGCCCGTGTCATAGGCTTTCAAAAATCTCTGAGCGGCGAAATTAACATAATCATGGACAACTGTTTCCAACCATGAATATAATCTTCGCATAGATATTTGGAGGGGGCAGGGTCTCCAGTGCACGGGTCAGTTCTGAAGTCTATCAAGAGACACAAGGGCCTCGTGTTGGAGCCATCGATCCAACATACATCCACCCCGCCCTCGCAGCGGTTTTTGAACCCGTCCCACCTCCGTCTCTGACACATCACGCCATAGCCTAAGTTAAAATTCACACACATTCACACCCTTTCCGCCGCCGATCTGGGCGTAGCGTGATCCTAGCTACACTCTACCACGTCCCTGATCTGCCCGCAGGCCTGAGCGAGGCGGAGAAGGTGCGCGTGCGCCGCGAGGTGCTGCAGGAGCCGCAGGTGCAGGAGTCGGTGGAGGACATGCGGGAGCGACTGCGCCTCATGAAGACCATCGTGGATGACACGCGCGAGGTGATGAGCGGCGCCGGGGGCGCCGAGGCGCGCCCCAAGGGCATCGCCATCGACGGCGCCATGATGGGCGCCATCTTCACCGTTATTTTGGCTGTCATCCTCGGCGCGTCGGCGCACGCCTTCCAGAATCTCTACTACGCCGTGCTTAAGCGCTTCGGTCGGTAATGGCGCGACTGGGGCGGTCGGAACGCAGAATAGCGGCGCGGCGGGGGCGATCGCGGCGCGGCGGGGCGATCGCGGCGTAGCGGGGCGATCGTGGCGAAGTCGGAGCGACGTCTGATGCCGGGACGTGTGGCCCAGGGGTGCAGCGAGCCCCGCTGAAACCGGCTGGAATTGGCGGCTAGGAAGGAGGCCAGTCATTCCAGAGACGGGAGACAGCCGGCAGCTCACTGGCGACAAGACGCGATCGTGCCTGGCAGGTCTGATCTGATCTTCGAGGCGTGATCATGCCCGGCAGGTCTGATCTGGTCTGCACGGCGCGATAATGCCCGGCAGGTCTGATCTGATCTTCACGGCGTGATCATGCCCGGCAGGTCTGATCTGATCTACACGGCGCGATAATGCCCGGCAGGTCTGATCTGATCTACACGGCGCGATAATGCCCGGCAGGTCTGATCTGATCTTCACGGCGTGATCATGCCCGGCAGGCCTGATCTGATCTACACGGCGTGATCATGCCCGGCAGGCCTGATCTGATCTGACCTGAGGCGTTGCGAGCCGTTAGGCCAGTCTTGGTAGAGTGTCGCCGCAGGCCGACCCCTTTTCAGCGGGTAAAGGCTGGTGTCATTAGCTCCCAGTGACATGGGGCTCGTGAACTCATCTGTAATGTGCTTCCTTCACTAGAATAACTCCGCCCTGGGCTTTGCACATCACACGTACCTGCCAGACAAGGCTAAGGGCTTTGCTGCATGACTTCTTGCGGTCGACACGCCCTCCTCCCTCCCTCCATCCCCCCTCCGTCCTCGACCACCAATCTAAAAGCTTGTTTACGACGGATCCAACGCGCTTTCTGAAGACGTTGGGAACAACGTGTTGTGCGTCGGCCACACCCCGCTTTCGTGCCAGTTAAGATGCTTAGGGAACAGGTCTGTAGAGGCGCTCAGTATGTGTTGCTCGAGAATTTTAGCAAAGTATGAATGTTAAAACGCGAGAGGCTCAACTATAGATGCAAATAAGAGAGCAAGCTACACGTAGTGCTGCCACTCAAAGCATGTCCAACCCAGGGTTCGTTTGAACGGTCACAGCACATTGCGAACATGCTAAGCACCAGCGGAAAGTCCGTCACTTGGCGATTGTCAACCATCATTTGAAAATTTGTTGAGCTTTTGTGTCCTGCATTTCGCTTTGATCACCATTTCTCAGGGTTGCACGTGTCCTGCTTTGTTGCTTGGGTGTTGCCAAGTTTTTGTCTGATTCCATTTCAAGGGATTGAGACCACGAGGAAAGGTTGTTTGTTCAACCTGCACACGTATACAGTTACCCAATAATCTCATATTTTTCGATAAATTTCCCTTTGCCAGAGATATTATGTTAGCGTTGTAACCAATATGATAATTTTTAACCCGTTCGCGGAAAAATTTAGTTGTAAATTCGAAAATTGTCAATAATCCAATGCTCTTAAAAACCACGACCCCCAGTTGAAGAACTAAGATGAGTTTTACCTTCTGGTCGTTGTTCTTGTGTAACTGAATGAGTATAGCCCGTGCGTTCGGCTCTAACGACCAAGTGCGTAAAGCTCGGCTCGTTCTGCCAGATCCCAGGGTGACAGATGCCCTCCAATAACACCGCCAGATGATAGCTCCTCCAAACAAGCGAAAGCTTACTGCTGCATGTCATTCGCCCGTCTTTCCTCAGTTATTGATTTACCCTTAATCGTCTCAACGCTTTGTTTATCGGGGACGATCTGCATGCATCATCCATCAGCGGGCTTTGGTGCTTCGGTGGCAGGAGTCTCGTCCGAACGCCCCGCGTCAAGCCCGATGACTCCCTGTGTCCCTGCGCGATGTAAGTCTCGGTGGCAGAGGACTCCCAGGTGGCCAGACGCTCATAGCCTTGCCCCGTCACACTCCATTATCACCCATCCCATAGCCTTGAAACGGTTATTGCTTGCGCAAAAAGGCCCTTCTCCAAAAAAATATGTCAATACTTCGCCTTTGATCACCGAGATCGCACATCTGCTTGTGTTCCTCAGCCGTCCCTGACTGCTGGCTGCGTCCCTGGCTGCTGGCTGCAGCCTTCACAAGCCACCTCCGGCTGGGCTGGTGAATAATGCATGCCGATAGTGTCGCACTCAGTGGGGCCCGACGCACCATACCTACTTTCTTGTTCCGTTTACATTGTAACTACAGCTAACTATGAGTGAGGAAAGAAGAAAAACGTGCAGTTCTACCAGATTGTTATTTCATTTTATTGTCTTTTGTTGTTATTTATTATCATTATTATTATTTCACATTATCATTATTCGTGGTCCTCGTCATGACCGCGAGTTCTTTAATTTATAGCAAGGCTGTCATTCTTCATGAGCTTTTTCCAAACGCAGCTTGTCGTTCGGAAGCTGTTCGTAGGGGTATGGCGCTCATGAACCGCACCACGGGCAGCAAGTCGCGGGCCACCAGGTGATTAGTGCCGAATGAGTGGGCAGTGACCGTTCCAGTGTAGTCTCTCTCGCACAAGGTCGGTGACGAAAGTAATTGAAGAACACTTCTACTCTGTGCATTTTAGACACATTTTCAACGCATGTATAAGTACGTTGTCTGCAATGCCAGCTGTCACTGGATGTGAAACATAGACGTAAAATTCGCGACACCAGTGGAGCAATGCCCTGCGAAAGGGAGGTTTCGTAACTTTTCAGATAGCACAGTTTATGAAAAGATTAGGATGACAATCGTGAACCAAATGTATGCTTGGTATCGCTGAGTGCTGAGCTGTCCAATGATCTGCGTCGTGTTCTCCCGCAATCCAGCCGTCCTCGGCGGCCCGTGGGATGAGGCCACCGGGCGCGGGCCCGCTCTTCCTGTGCTGTCCCTCGTCCTCGGTACCTATTCAGCCCATGACGTCACGGGCGCTGCGCATGCGCAGGGTGGCCGCGAAGCGCCCGGTCGCGGCTGGGGGGCGCGGGTGTAGCTGCCGCTGGGGTCAGAAGGAGCCTGACCACAGTCACTTGCGAGCAGGTTGGACCATTTTTGTCTTTTGGACATACGAAACGACACAAAAATAGACCTGCACCCCAGACCACCGAGGGCGAAGCTACGTGCGTGGTGCTTGGACTGGTGGTCACGGCTGCGTCCGTACCGTGTGCGCCTGACGGGGTATCCGCAGGCGTAGCTCCCCGACCCGGTGACGGTGTGGGGGCCCAGCGAGCCGACCGACGCCGCTTCAATAATACTCAGCTCGCGTCCGGTGTTTCTTTCTCTCGGTGCAGTTGTACGACGCGGTCCCCGATGCGATGCGATGGCGGTGCGGTGCCGCTCGTTCCAGCAGGTTTGCGACAGCACGGTCAGCGTCACTCGCCCACCGCGGCTGGGGACGGTCGCCTCGCCCCATGATGACATTCGGCCCACTCCGACTGGCTGTCGCGGGCAACGGTTCTGCTCAGGGGAGGACCGCCACCGAGGACGGCGGTCCTCGCTGCGAGAACAACGCCCATGCCCCGGGCGAACACACGACAGTTCAAAAATAGCAGTTGCAATCAACATGAACGAAATCGACACCAGAGCAAAGCCCCGTGCGAACATATAAAACTAATATGCGGTAGGCGCAAAACTGCAGTCACACGCATTTGACAGGATTCGCTCTTCATCCAGGTGTGTGTAGCTAGCTCGGTTTCCTCGCTGACTCCGCGGCTCCGTTGAGCCACACACACGCCTGTTCTGGTGAACAATCATGCAGGCGAAACGTCAGGAACTCGAAGTGGGCCCACACAGGCATTTGCCCATACGTTGGCCTATGGCTGTGCACCTGATGCGAGTTACTCGGCAGCTGAGAGATGCTCCCCAGGTGACAAACATGACCAGAGCACGTACGGGCTGGGCGCACCGCATCAGTTCGAGTAATTCTTCACAATGCCCTTACAGAACAATTTTAACATTGAGGACGTAGAAACGGAATCTGATCTGAAAGAGAATGCAGCTCATGGACGTGGCAACTCACGCACACTGCGCAGCACGATCGACAGAGGTGCACGAAGTGTTAGCGTGCGAATGCGACACGCGCGAGTTGAGCGTCCCAGTATTGTAGGGAAGATGGTACCCAAGCAGGAATATTTCCTTCACGTCGTAATTCGCCCTTTCCAGTTGCCATGTCTGCCTTCGCATCGATCAGTAACGAACAAAATCAGCGATGAGTAAATCTTCGTTATCAGCGCGATACACCCGTAGTTCACTTATACGCTGCATACAGGAGTGACTTCCAAATGATGGAAACTGTTGTTTTTGTTGCGCGGGCGTTAATTCCCCACGCGACGTCCGACGATCTGAGCTTTTCACACGACACGCCGGCGCGGCAGAAACCGAACAGGTCGAGATGAGAACGTCGTCGAGAACGTCGAGACCTTAGGCCGTCTTAACTAGAGGACTTCGCCGGTTGGGAAAACCCAGGGTACCCGTGTGCAATGAGTATCGGGCTGGATTGGGTACAGATTGCGGCAAAACTGCAAGTAGGAGTGTATGTATGGGTCAGTTACGAAATCTTGATTGAATGCTTCGGTAGCGCGCGGGCACGGGCACAGCCTCATGGTTAGCGGGTGGGCATGGGCACAGCCTCGTGGGTAGTAGGTAGGCATGGGCAAAGCCTCGCGGGTAGCGGGCGGATTGGGCAAAGGAAATCGTACGCGCAAAAGGCCTATCGTACTATCGCTGTAACGTCGGGCGCCCGCGGCGCTGGGAGCCGGCCTTTGCCCTTCAGCCGACCTCCACAGGGGTCACCCGACACCGACACCGGGCCACCTCCAGCTGGGCTGCGGCGCGGCCCGCCGACAAAGCGCCCGACAAGAATAATATCTGCGCACGGCCCCTGACCTATGCCTGTCCGGTTCACGTTGCGGCTTCCTCCCAGTCTACCCACCGGCAGCGTGCTGGCGGCCGGCGGCCTGACCCCGACCCAACGGTCACACAGCACAGACTCGAGACGTGTTTTATTAACCCATGTACAGTTCGTCGGTGAACACTGCCGACCACTCCCCACACTGATGCCACCTCGCCGGCGTGCGGCCTCCGCGTGCCTCCACATTCTCAGACTCCTCAGCCTCCCGCCGTCTGCCTCCCCGCCTGGCACCGCTGCCCTAAGGGGCGGTGCCAGGCCGCCTCCCTCCTCGCGCTCAGTCGTCACCGCCCTCCTGGCCGTCGTCGCCGTTACGTCGGTCCGGAGAGCCGGCATCGGCGGGCGCGTCGCAGCGCGAGCCGGAGCCGGAGCGGGAGCGGGAGCGAGAGCTGTCGGCAGATGGCGCGCCCGATCAGTCGCCAGAGAGCGGTGGCCGCCGTTGGGGATCAGCCAGCCAACGGGAGGGGCTCTCAGATGAGCGCCGCAGCTGCAGCAGCGAGACGGCACCGTTCGGCGACATGAATAGCATCAGAAGCAGGCGGTGGTGATAATGCAGCAAAGAGACATAGAGAACAAGCACCGAGCAAGACAGGCAGGGACGGCACAATGGTCGGCCACATCGGTGGGCGGCGATGCGAGAACCGCGAGGTGGTGCGAGCTCGGCGCAGTAGCGTGGAGACACGGACCTGCTGCCGCCGCCAACACTGGGCATAAACATACAAGCGCTCGGACAACACTGCGCAGATGGGGAGAAAAACGGATGGCTGTACCAGAAGGTAGAGAGCTTGTAGGTTAACAAACAAACCCAACACACAAGCGTCCATTGTTCCAGGGTGCACCAAGCTACACCACACTAGCATCTGGTGCAGCCGCACTGGGGCTGGACATGCCATGGGAGGTGGGAGAAAACGCCGCGACGCACATCCTCCTTCGGGATATGCATGATGCACAGACACCACAGGGCGGAAAACTGAAGCACATTTTGTGGGGTACATCCGCTTGTTGGACAGTTCAAAGCACAATTAGGTCTGGCTGCCACTTCGTAGTGAACTAGCACTGAAGGACGACGCAAGGTATCCATAGAAAAAACGAGAAGACTCATAGCAGCCAAACAAAGTAATCCGCATGAGGTTATGTCCCCATTTCGAGAGATATCTTTTAAGTCGCCCAGCGATAACCCGTCCGTTCGATATCTTCAAAACATGCGCCAGACCATGGACACCGTCTCCAAGGACAAGCATCGCCGTCCTGGGCGTCTGAGGTCTTGGCGCACAGCACGACGTCTGCGCCGAGCAGCCACCCGCCGCCGGACCACCCCACAGGCGGACAGCACGCGCAACCCCGCGGCACGACCGCGTGCGGCGCCAGCCGAGCGCACGCCACCGCCGGCACCGGACTGGCCCCGACCCGGCACGGTTCGGTGCCCGACGCCCCACACCCCAACCCCGGCGCGGCACTCACACCGGGCATGAGACGGCCCCACTCCGTCTACCCGCTGCCGAAACGGCGTCAATGACTGATGCAAGAGCCCAGTTCGGCTGCAGCCGCCCGATGCCCCACCGGAACCCTGGCACGCCCCAGTTAGCATCGCGTCGCTGTCCCGTGAGCACCCCGACACGGCACCAGCATTTACTCCCAACCCGCTGTGACACTCAGCAGCTCTCCATTATTCCACAGGATTTTGAAGGCGCTAACGCAACACCGTGCGGACAAAGAACAGAAAGAGCCAAGCCTTACCGGGACTTGCTCCTGGACTTGGACTTGGAGCGGGACTTGGAGTGCGACTTCCTGCCATTGTCCTTGGACTTGGACCTGGATCAAGCCAAAACTCTGGTCAGGAACCCTGCACCTCAGTCCACATCGCTAACACAGCTGTAAGGAAATGACGTGCCGCATGTCGGGCATGCACGAACGTTCCTTCCGAAACCTGGGAACGAACAGTAACCGAGCAACTAAACAGTGATTTCGATTAGCTGATATAGCACCAAACCAATGAACAAAAAGGCGTCTCGAGTAATCAACAACTCAAGTGTTGCATACAAGTACTTCGAACCCATAACAAACCGCGGAACATCGAGCGCCAGAAAGTGCGTCCGAATGGTGCGCACACCGGCGCGCAGCAGCCGCCTCCGTGCCAGCAATAGCTCAGCGGAACGCAGCCTCACACACACGCAGGCGGGCGGCACGCCAGGGGTGGGGACGGGACGGGGGGCGTCTCAACCGGCCGTGCCCGCCCGCCGGCCTCTCGGCGCTGGGCCGTCTGCCGGCCGCCGCGGCGCTCGGCCGAGCCACAAATTTAGCTGACCTGGACTTGCGCTCGGCGGACTTGGACTTGCGCTCGGCAGACGCCGACCTGCGCTCGGGCGACTTGGACTTGCGCTCGGCCGACTTGGACTTGGATCTGCGTTCCTTGGACTTGGACCTGCGATCACCGGACTTGGATCTGCGGTCTCCGGACTTGGATCTGCGATCTCCAGACTTGGATCTGCGATCTCCAGATTTGGACCTGCGGTCGCGGGACTTGGACCGCGACTTGGATCTTCGCCGGCAGGGGACAGACGGTGTGCGTCAGCAAAGCATCGCCAGCCGCGGCCCGAGCTCCAGGGCGGGCGCTCGGCAGGTGGGCTGCACAGTCGACACAAGCCACAAACTACCACGAACAAACTCAAAAGACTACGGCACTACACACTGTACAGCCGCCGGCGGGGAAGGGGCGCGGCGGCGGCGGCAAAACAGCCAAGCCGAACAGAGGAAAGCGGGCCAAGCCGGCGGCACCGCCAACCCCGCCCGGCCCCGGGTGGCGACAGCTCACCTGGAGCGGTCGCGGCTGCGGTCCCGGCTGCGACTGCGGCTGCGGCTGCGGCTGCGACTCTTGCTGCGGCTCCTGCTGCGCGAGCGGCGGCGCGAGCGCGAGCGGCTGCGGCTGCGGCTGCGGCGGCGCGACGAGCGCAGAGAGTCGTCGATGAGCCGGATGCGGCGGCCGTTCAGCTCCGTGTCGTCCAGCTTGTCGATGGCGTGCCGCACGTCCGAGTAGGAGGCGAACTCCACCACCCTGGGGCAGGTCGGCCGTCACCACTGGGGTGCTACACCACGCGGCCGTCAGGGCAGCGCGGCCAACTCCGACGCCACCCAGGCATCACGTGGTATCCACCGCCCTGGCGGACAGAAACGGTGACGAGGGGGCACTACAGCTGCGACGTACGCCGCCAGAGACCGAACTCCACCATGCTGGTGGAAGTGGGGAGTCATCAGAGGTTATGCCACGGTAGTTAGCACGGCATGACACCCGAGGCCTGCCGGCCACTGGCAAGAGGGCGTCACTGAAACCGGACACATGTGTTGCGGGCATTCGAACCGCAGCAATGCTGAGTGCGGCCCACAGCGACGACCAGCGGCCCATGCCACTGTGGTAATACGCACAAAGTGTTAGGAAGTCGAGCAAACAATTCAACAACGTCACATTAACTGGTCAAGGCAAGTACAAAGATATTAAACCAGCCTTGAACTCGAAGGCAAACTGCACAGACCACGAACTCCAATGCAGACAGAGCGTCACCCAGCCCACAGGCTCGGCAGGCTTCACGGTAGCGTGCCGACCCCGAGCCGGACCGCCTGCCGCCAGCGCCGCACGGCCGGCGGCGCGCGCGCCACTCACCCCTCTCCGCGGTGGTGCTTGTGTGCGTCGGCGTAAGTCACCTCGCCCGCCTGGCGCATGTAGTCCTTGAGGTCCTGGCGACCGGGGACAGGCGACACGGCGTCAGGCGATCGGCTCGCGCGCGGCGCCAGACGGGCAGACAGACCGGCGGCCGCTTAGAGCGCAGAGCGCGCGGAGGGCGCGCCTCCAGGGACGCAGCACCAGCAAGCGAGACCGCGCTTTGTCCGTGATGCGCGCAAACGCGGCAGATAAGCGGACATACTAGGATGCTGCTTGACGTATGCTAGCGACGTGAGCACCACGTGAGAGAATGCACTGAGCAACCAGCACCCTACCGTTCTGACTAAGCGACACACGGTCTGCTAATGATACATTTGATATCAAGAGCGGAGGCTCGGCGGCCGGGTCTACGCGCCGAGGCCGGTGAACACGGAAAGCGAACAAGGACGCCGGTGTCGGGCTCAGCGGGACGGCGGTCCGAGGACGCGGGCTGGTCGGCGGCCGCCGCGGGCGGGGGCCGCCGGGTCGGGACGGACGCGGGCCGGGGCGACAGACAGAAAGACGGATGCGGAGAGAAAGAGAGAGACACAGAGAGCGAGAGAGAGAAAACGGATCTGCGGCGCCGGCTACAGGGCGCGTCGGCGGGCCGTACCTGGGAGTCAGCGAGCCGAGCCAGCCAGCGGACCCTCAGAGCACACACACACGCGCCTCGCATCGCACAGCACCAGAGCGCCCGTCCGCGGCGGCGGCCGGCGGCGGCGGCCAGCCAGCGCCGACCCTCTCGTCACCGACTACCCTCAGTCATCAGTGGGGACATCTCAGGCTCCGCGTGGCCATCGGACACTCTTGAAGAGAACGGTCAGCTTCAGTGGCCAGTCCACAACCGCACACAACGCCCATCGGCAACAGAGGCCGCGCGCACGGCAGACAGCGCTCAACGACATGGCGGCGAACGCATGGCAACGGCATAATCCAGTCTCAGCACGAGTGACACACAGACTGAGGCCCGCGAGCGCCGCCGCGGCGCCCGGACGGCGCCGGGCGCGACAGGCGGCGACACCGGCGCGCGGCCGACCCGCGACCGCCGTCGGCCAGCGCGCGTACCTGCCAGCTGACACGCGAGCTCAGGTTCTCGACGATGAGCCGGTTCTCGGTGCGCGTGGGCGGTCCATACCTGCCGGCACAGCCAGCCCGTCACAGTCGGCACGCCGCCGCCGCCGGCGCGGCCGCGCGCGAGCGACGCGGCCGACGAGTCGTCGCCTCCCCAGCCGCCGGCCTGCTCGCGGGCGCCGACCGGCCGACGTCGTGGCGGGTGTCACGTCGCGCTGCAGTGGAGGGCTGCCGACTCCGGGCCGCCTCGGACCAGTGAGCTGGTCCAGCGCCGAGCGGAGTCAGACGCGGTTCAGGCCCGGGCTTTCAGGGTCAGTCGGGGCGCTCCGGTCGGCGTCAGGGGCTCTGACCAGGATCAGGGGCTCAGGCTGTGCGCTGTCCGGTCGCCCGGATGATCTAGGGGCACCGACAAGTGCTCCGGTCAACGCAAGTTCACGTCACAGGCACGTGGCCAGGCAATCGCCAAGAGATCAGGCGACCGTCAGGTGTCCAGGTCAGCGGGTACTCATGTCCTCGCCAGGAGATCGGGTCACTGTCCCGGTCGGGCGAGTACTCAGGTCACCGCGAAGCGCTCCAGTCGGGCCCCTGCCAGATGAGCTCACGACCCCGCCAGTCGGCGGCAGCGGTTCATGCCGTCGGCAGTGACCCACGTCGGGACGGACTGGTGTCTCCATCCGCAAGTGCGTGCCGCACCACACCTCCGTCCACCTGCTTGACCTCGCGTCCGGGTAACCGGCCGCGGCCGACGTCGACGGGCCGATGGCGCAGCGTGACCCCCGGCCCCGCCCCGAACCGACCCGACCCGCCCCACCGCTCCTGTGGTCGCCGCCGTGGCGCCGCGCGCGCCGGCGCACACCTACTTGGTGTTGCGTCCGGGCGACGGGCTCGGCCGCGGCTGCCGCCGCCGCCGAAGCGGTCGCGGTTTCTGCGGGCCGCGCGCCCGCTCCAGCGTCACTCTGCGGGCCAAGAGAGGGGCGGTCTGAGCTAGGCGGCCGGCTCACTCACTTGTTGCTCCAGGCCGAGGGGCGGCGCGCGCCGTAGTAGTCGTCGTAGCGGCGCGACGGCCCGCGCGCCGACTCCACCGTGACCCTGGCGGCACGGCGCGGGCGGCCGGTCAGGCCGGCGAGGCGCGCGGAGGAAACCGGGCAGGTCGGAGCTGGGGCAAAGGCCAGGGGCGGAACTAGGCAGAAGGGACACGGCTAGGAAAGGGGAGGGGGAGGTGAAGCAGAATGGGGGAGGGGGGGCTACGTGAGCAGGACGGGTCGAGCAGCAGGGAAGGTGGAATGTGTCAAAGGAGAGAAACACCTGTAACGGTTTGAGCCTTTGGGTGCAGCAGCTACTTAGGTTAAGAAACATGGCACAACACACATGATAGGGAGAGGTAATGGCAGAGGACAAATGGGCCACCTCGAACATGCGGTGCAGGACGCTTAGGGGGTCGTGCCTGCAGCAACAAGGGAAATGATGACAGACAGGTCAGAGGATATGCCACTGGCAGAGCACATGATGGGTGAGGAATGACAAACAGGACAGGCTCAATGGCATGACTCCAGAAGGCAGGGCAGACAGGACCTGGCAGGCAAAAATGATCAGGTTATGGCTGAGGTTGGAACAGCAGCCAATCCAGAGCCTCTGCATGGAGAGAGGGCTCCTACTGGAAACCTTCAGCTGCCTTCATGTAGTGTGTGATGAGCTGGTTGTTGTCGGAACGGTGCAGCATTTTTGCACCCGGTTCCAGCTCCTGTGTGAAGAACACCCAGCAGCACCAACCATCCTGATCTGCATCCCAAAAAGGAAGTGGCTGGTCAGTCAGCTCCTCAGCATCCCCAGCAGTCTGTAGTGCATTCATAACATGGAAAATGATCACAGTTGGATGATTACACTCACATGACCATGAATGAACAGGATGAGCCTGGTGTGTTAAGCTACAAACTGGGAACTACAACAGTTGCTAGGTGCATATGTTGATGTAAGACATACCTGGCACCCAACAGTTCTCTTCCATTCAGCTCATACACTGCGTCGTCAGCATCCCTATTATCTTCAAATTCCTGTAACAAGGACATATGGAGGGTCTGTCAGACTTTTTGTGAGGGGTTGACAGTAAAAGCTGTGTATGGTAAGCATGGCAGTATGGTACATCAATATATTACAACAAAGAGGCATCCACAGGATTATGTCTGGACCACACCTGAAATACAAATATATTATCACACTGATACATCCTTTGTGTAACCAAGAACAGAAAGTATGTACAAAAAGGCCAAGCAATAAGCTATAATACTAAACCTTCAACTTACCACAAACCCAAATCCATTCTTAATGAGAACATCCCTGATTCTTCCATACCCTTTGCAGAACCTTTCAATGTCTCTTTCTCTGCAGCCATGTGTCAGGCCACCTATGTAAACTCTTGTCCCTGGCATCTGAAACAACAAATGGTTAATCAGCTGAGTGAAGCTGCCTTCAGTGATCTTCAAGCCTTGGTTTGTACACCAAACACATCACAGGATATCTGCTATGCTTCATATGTAGCCTAACTCACCAAATATATCTTTGGTCTCACTCACTACAGTATTTCATTAACCATCCTCACAACCTATGCAAATAAATATTGCTGAATGCTTTCCTACCTACTTGTAGGCTTTCTTGGGAGGCAATGAAAGGCATTAAAATACTTAAATATTTTTTCACTGTACCTGGCAATTCCAACTTCTGCTGCCAAAATGTTAGAAATCATCAAAATGAATGCCCTGCTTTACTGGCCATGTAACACAAATGGTTGTCATACCAGGGACCATATCATTAAGATATTTCTGGTGCAGTCCATACTGGACTCGCAAGGAAAGCCACAGCAATCCTGCCTAAAAGCACAAGCCTCCCAAGCATGATTCCTGTTTAAAGATCATGTCAACCATGCAACTGTCTAATCAAGATTGATTGGGCTAACTGTCAATAAAAAAACTGAGGATCTAGTCTACACCTCCAAAATTCACCACAGTTTGAGTGGCAAGGGGTCAAGTTGGTCTTCAGTGCAAATATTTTACATTGACACTAAATGCCATTGGAGCAAAGTTTGCATGCCTGCTGACTTGTCTCAGAGATATACACCATGCAAATGGGGAAAGGGCATTATGGGAAAGTCAATGCCAAACTATGTATGACAGTCATATCTGGTCACTGAACATTTATGAGAATGATTTCCAGATAAAACTGTTGTCAAATAAGCTCTCAATCAGTGTTGTGTAACATAACACAGCAATGTCATAATCAAACTGATACATCAGGGAGTATTTTCACTGCACAGAGAACTGTGCTGTCTGTAGCAATCTTTTCCACCTAAAAATTATACATTTACAAGTGGGCTTGCTGTATCATATCAGATGATTGCTTTCATACCTTTACCTAACAAACATTCCCTTAAAATATACTTGGTATAATTGCTTCTCAGAATGCAAATCAAAGCACCTTAACATTTACTAACTATCCAAATCCAAGCACGGAAAAAAAACAATCCGAGACAGGAAAAAATTCACCCTGGGAACGCTGAGCCAATATTCATTCTTCTGACACACACCATTAGAATTGTTATTGTATTGTGCTACATGACTGACCAGTTCAGACATATTTGCACAACACATTAGTTATGGCAATTATCATTCCAGCTACTTATCTTAAGATGTTCACATTTCTTGAATGATGGCCAGAAAAAATTGGATTCAGTTCAGACTATATTCTTACATGTGCTGATTGCGAAACAATCAACCACCCATCATCTAATGTGCAAGAAATTAGTTAAGGACACTTAAGTTGTATGCAACATCAGTATGCTGAACCATGTGCTCATGTTAGCCACACTCAGGCAGGCAAGGCCAACTATGCTGGATTTTCTAACAATTTTCATGTGATAATATTTTGGAGGTATGTTCATCTGATATGATATTTGAAGTACAATTCCTTCAAGCATTGACTCTCTTTGTGATGAAATTAATACAATGAACTCTGAATGCTTAGATTTACAGTGTATACCTAGGTATGTACATGTAGATGTCAAATGTAGGTATGAGCTGGAATTGTTGCTGTGATTGCACTTCTATGCAAACATGATGTGTGTAACTAGCACTTTCTATCTACCAATCATTAATCAAGCATACCAAAGTGCATTTACAATGCAGTAATTGCCAGACATGAGTAAATTCATAAATACATGTGCATCTCATGACAGCACAGGGCAAATAGTGATCAGGGTACTGATGTCACCTGCGGTATCATACCAGATGTCAAAATGTGATTTAAACTGCTGTAACTGGCAAAAATGAGTCACAAATCAGTTTTGTTTCAGAGGACGATGTCAAATCCCTTGTCAACAGAACAGTAACACAAACAACAGGAGGCAAGTATATGAGTGGTGTTCATGGCAAAATCCACTTAGCAAATATCCAAGCATAGCAAGGTTATACTGCAGGTTAGAAACAGCGTACAAATTGAGACCTGAAGATAGCCAAAAACGGAGCCATGCTGTCTGGTCAACGGATCACAAAAGTGCGCCCAAATATGGATACATAGACGCTCCCTCTGCGCCAGCTCCCCACGCAAATCCGCGACTAATCTCACCTTGTATCTGGATATCAGCCACCGTCCGCGCACTAACACTTCCTCTGCAGGCCCAGAAGTAACTTAAAGCATCCGATGAATGCAATAATTAACGGTTGCTCTATAGCCACGATCTTACGGCCCCCGCTCCAATGCGCACTTCCCTGACCGGAAACAGCTAGAATCCCGCTCAATATGGCGCGGTTTCCACAACAATCCGATTTAGAGGATGGAGACGCTTACAGCCATAAACGCACTTGCATTTAATTCTGACAGTCCTGGTGGTCAGAGCGACTTAAAGCCGAGTCAGGCAGGAGTATTTCACGTAAAGTTAGTAAAAGTATTACAAGAAGCATTCATACAAACGATGTCTTCACCAAAACCATATAGCGGCAGAAGGCGTAAAGAAACGCTTCATCTCTATTTTAATGGCGATGCTAGGCCTGGGGGCGGCGTGTGGCCGGGTTTGGGGATGGGGATGTAGTCTTTGCCAGACAACTCAAATAATAAAATGTCATGTTAACGTGCTTCATCTTAGATCTGGACATACGTGTCCTGCACGTTGGTGAAGCTGATCACGATTATGAAATATATGTCTTTGAGCCCAGCCAACTTTTTGTCGTTAGTAATGTCATAGAATGATGCCCGTGATCCTGACAATTTATTTCACCATCGATTAAGCGACTAGCTCCGATTTCGATGAACGCACTCAAAACGGCTAATGATAGCACATCACCAAACATGACGCCTAGTTCGCGACACCACGCGCCATTCGAGGTCTGATGACGGGGAACTCAAATCACTCAAAAGTCCCCGGCCGATTTCGGACTTAAAGCATCATCATTTACCAGCGCATAAATAGCGTTCGTTAGAAAGACTGGGCCTCTCCAGGTCTGGCCTTCAAGGTCGAAATGAGTACGCGGTCGAAGGGTGGGGAAATCCATATCAGCCGGGGCTGCCGCGCGATATTAGGACTTGGATTAGGCCGCCCCCATGGCCTCAGGATGATCGGCAGCGCATGAATAGGCGTCCATGTAAGAATCCATGACATCTGAAGATCACCTTTCGCGCCATTTTAAGTAGGCTCAAAACGACGGGGAGCTTCATGCCATCTAACGTTGGCAGGCTTATTTTACCTCGGTAAAAATAAGAATATTCACCAGCACGTGAACGTCCATCAACCTCCTGAGGTTTCAAGGTCAGTCATCAAGGGCTGACAACAGGACTACTTCACAGCCGTTAGTTAAAGCGCTGAAGATGATGTTGGTGCTTGAAAATTCGAAATTGGTTAGTAACTTTTCAATGGTGTGGATTTTGGGTAATTTGACATTAAAGTATTACCTTGCAAACCAGGATGGTTTGGCGAACGCCAGTTCATGCACTGGTGAATATTCTGATGTTTAAAAATCCGAAATCGGCCGATATCTTTCGGGTGATAATGAGCTTCCCGTCCTTTTAGTACGCGCGTAATCTAGCCATAAATCTAAACTTGAAGAATGATTTTGAGAGATTAGCACTACTTGGCCGGTGTTAAATTGAGGCTTAAGCGTACAAGCCGATTCTGGGAGCTAAGAAAATACGAAATCGTCCTGTTTACTTTTGGATGACTTTGGATTCGGGTAACAACACGTGGGATTTTCGTCATGTGAGCTTGAAAGTTGACTTGAGGGGTCAGTACTTTTTGACGGATGCTAGTTTTTGCACTGGGGGGTTAAACTGAAGATCCAAGGACGGGGGTCGATTTCTCAAAAAAGATTGGGGGGGGGGCAGAATCTTGGAAGTCGCCGAGGAAGACAGGTGAACGAAAACTTGTCGAATATAGTGCACTTATGTTCTGATTTCTAACTAATCGATCTAAGCATATGTGCACGCCCCACCCCACCCACCCCACCCACCCACACCCACCACCCACCACCCACACCCACAACCACAACCCACCCACCCAGTCGCCGACCACACACACCAACACACACAACACACACAGCGACACACACACAGCACCACATCACGCACTCACGCACGCAACGCACGCACGCGAAGCACACCACACGCACACATCACACCACACACACACACACACATATATATATATATATATATATATATATATATATATATATATGTGGGTTTTGTTATGTGCAAGGACAATTGGATATTTAATCAAGCATCCTTCCGCTGTCCAAACTCTGTTGTCTACTCTACTGCAAACTCTACTGGAAAACTCAATGTCATTAATTGGTGTCGCAATGGTGTCACCGCTCATATGTTGTTTGCAAATATAAGCATGTGTTCGCTGTAGGATCGTGTCTTTAAAAGCCTGAAGCCTTAAACCAAACATATTCTGCAGATATTTAGATGATATATTTCATGATGTCGGAGACGAGGCCCACCGCCACCAATGGCAGGCCACCATGCAACGACAACCGCCATTACGATTTAGAACTAGCCTGAGTGTTGACAACCATTCACCCTTTCTTGACATCTATGCGGATGGGAACAACGGATCTTTTGCCACAATAGTGCGCCATAAACCTACTGATGCTGGCAAATGTACAACGCGGCTAGCGAATACCCAGGGTATTACCGCACGGTCGTCATCCTTTCGTTTCTGCAACATGCCATAAAATATTGCCTCAACTGATCCACGACGCACCACGAACCTGAACGGCGTAAGCAATTACCCGCTAATAATGACTGTTCGAACAGAGCAATTGAAGAGATTGAGGCCACCTTAAATCGACGAAACCAGAAACAACTTAACAACAGACCAACCCATCAACTTTTTGTCGAAATCTAATAAAACGTGGATAACGTCATAAAACGTCGATGACAAATTTGCCGAACATCGGGACAAAGATCACACCGACTGACGAAGACACTGAATATAAGGCTTACCATATTTTACAAGAGAATAACAATTTCCAGCCTTTTAATGAAAAGCAGCCCGGCAGGAGACCAAAACCAACTAAAGCGCACCAATATAGTGCATGAATTGAAATGCCCGTAAGGAGACCGCTGGCTCCGCAACTTCACTTGCACTGGAATGACCACAACAACCCTATCACGACACGCGACTATGCAGCTGCAGGAGTGAGCGCCAGATAAACATATGCGCAAAACCCGCAACCAAAAACTCCTACGCTCTGATCTGACTGAAAACACACTGATTCTAAAATCGCGTGCGAACAAACGCCGTCTACAAGTCCTTGAAGCCATTCTCATCAGAAAAGGAGTGCCTGGTATAAACAAACGGCTTAGGTCATGTGTCACTTTGGACCTGTTCAGTCATCCAATGAAAGCATGGCGATTGGATATCTTCACTCTTCCATGGAGTGAAACTGGATGGAAAAGTGATTGATGTATGTTTGTATGTACTTTGTAACTTGACCAGACATTTGGAGGTATAATGTGCTAAATGACGTCCACTTTTGATTACATCCCGCAGAGCATGCCTCTTATTTTGTCTTATTCGAATATTTTCTGTACGACCTTCTTGCATTCCTTTGAGAACGGGGAACGAATGTCCTTGAAGCGTTAGCTAGCTTAAACTAATGCATATGATTATAGGTGAGTTGACGCATGACTTATAGAGAAAAACGGAGGGCTTGATTCGAACAATCGAACAAACACGCAAGAAATTAAATAAATGCACATTTACCCTCCCATATAATGAAGCATGCATTAGTGAAAGCTTACTGCCCATGAAGAATATATATATATATATATATATATATATATATATATATATATATATATATATATATGTATGTGTGTGTGTGTATGTGTGTGTGTGTGTGTGTGTGTGTGTGTGTGTGTGTGTGTGTGTGTGTGTGTGTGTGTGTGTGTGTGTGTGTGTGTGTGTGTGTGTGTGTGGTGTGTGTGTGTGTGTGTGTGTGTGTGTGTGTGTGTGTGTGTGTGTGTGTGTGTGTGTGTGTGTTTATTGGTACTAAACTACACTCCACCACATATTTTCGTAAGGTCATGTACGTAGCCTAAAATCACACGTAGAAGTCTGGCAGGCTGCATGAGCTTTGTAAAACGCAATGATTTTGTGAAGCTTAAGGGGTGCAGTTGCAACTCGCTCTTTGCCACTGGAATTTATGTATTAACGAGAATGGTGCCTACAATATGTCTGGCATTGCACCCCATCCATATGAAGCTTCTTGACATTCCGAAAATGTCATCGATAAACCATATGCAACTCAGTTAATGTTAAACAAAACACAAGCACTCCTCCGCGCATCATTTCACGAAATGGTTCTTAACCTTTCTCCGAAAACGCTTAGGTGCATGCCCTACTCTTGATTAATATCTTTCCCGCTAACTTCATCAAACGCGCGTCACGATCTAGCTGTAATTCAGGGAGGCACTGTGCCAAGCTGTTGTGCCACTGAGGGGAAAACGGGAAAAACGGGAAAAGAGGAAAACCCACTTCAGTTCCAATGTATTGCAAATGAAACGACCAGAATGTCAATGTCACTCGTAATGAAGGTTGACTGCAGAAGTGTTGCTGGCTGACCTGGCTCCTCAGCGACCATGGTCGTCTAGAAAGATTCAGCCTTTGCTAAGAATTTAGAAGTGGACGAATTACATAGCGTAGCTTTGACCACGCGAACTATTCAACCTTGGAACAAAGACCCTGATGATCGGCATTGCATTCTCTGTAGACCGCGTGACGTTAGTCCACTTGCTGATATCAGATGGTGGCCGGTGAGTGGATGACAACGGCAAAATTTCTGAAAGAAATGCCTTTGAACACTATGGGATGTCAATTCGTACGTTTAGAACGGAATCCGGGGCATGTTTCACCTGCGCAGTTTATATATCTATAATAAGAACGGATTAGCATTCACAGCACTGCAAACGGGTGACGGAGTTTAGCGTTGGAACTAGACAAGTAAACATGAAATCCCTGTTTTCTTGTTGCTGGCGCTTTTTATCTGTTCAGAGAACATTCTCAAATTTTACATGTGAAATTTATTCCCCAGCCTTATGCTTGAACAGTACGAATTCATCTTGAAAGGCTTTCTGATGTCCATGATGCGTCCATGATGGCAAGACTGAACTTAAAAACAAATATTTGGTCGGTTTTAAAATTGTTTTAGTGTCGTGGAATTACTTCCAGTTCAAAGTTGATGTGATTGCTAATGACGATATAAGAAGAAGAAATATTTCTGTATAAATAGATATACCAATATATCTATACATCGTGATG